ATTATTATACATACACACATATATATACACATACACATATGCAAGTAGTTCTCGTTATGCAGAGTCTACGATTGTGGACCACCTGAACCCCGAAACCTCCCCCTAAAACTAAAACATTGTCTAACTATTAAGGCTAAGCTCAAAGCGAAACATTTATCTTATTCTGTATTCCAAAACTGAACTTCATTTGCAATTTGTATGTTTTAAATTGATATATGTCGTATATGTTATGTATGCACATCAGCCGTATATATACATACATATATATATATAGAGATATATATATGTATAGTCAGTTAGCTAATGAACTGACGCTTTCGTGCATGCAATGACAATTCTTATGCATTTCAATCGAGATCAATCAAAGTTCAGTTATAACATCTCGTGTTCGTATATATATATACATATATACATATATTAAATGCTCTATTAGTTATATCTAGCTATACTTGTATGTAGATTGATATATACATATATATATAGGCGCACATTAGGCGCCACGAAATGCTCTATTTAAATTTAATACAAGTGTTGTACACCAAAATAAATTTGTAACGCACGTTTATTAGCTAATTTGCAGTTAGTTTTAAAAATATATTCAACAAGAACTTTTATTGATTAATCTTGCAAAACTGTTAAACAATTTCTGAAAACAGTAAATCAATCAAAGGGTTTTAAGGTATAGTTATATGTATGTCATCAGATTATTTGATGTGGAATCTACCATTTCACGTATTGAATATTCACATATTTATTATATTCCGAGGTGACTGTGTATGTATGTCTGTGTGTGTGTGTGTGTGTGTGTGTGTGTGTGTATGCATGCGTGTGCATGTGTTTGTATGCATATTTGTCTCTGTATATATGCAAGCTGCCTATGAATATAAGTATGCATGCATACGTATATGCGTGCCTATGTACGCATGTGTATAAGTCTGTATGTGTGTGTGTACGTGTGTATGTGTATGTGTGTGTACGTGTATGTATCTATGAAAATAGGCACGCATGCATGTACGTTCACTTGTATTAAACAAGGGAAAAATTTACTTCCCTCTGCGCTGCAAATTGAATAAAAACGTATTTGTGAAGGCAGCCCTCCTCTGCGATTCTCAAGAATTTAAGTACGACTTGCACGTCTTCATGCTCTGATAGGAAGTGAAGTGCCGTATGTGTGAGTGTATGTGTGTATATGTGATATGTGATATGTATGTATGTATGTATGTATGTATGTATGTATTTATATATGTATGTATGTATGTATGTATGTATGTATGTATGTATTTATGTATGTATGTATGTAAGTATGTATGTAAGTATGTGTGCATTTATGCATGTATATATGTATGTGTGTGTGTGTGTTTGTGTGTATGAGGGTATGTATGTATGTGCGTACATGTGTACATGTACATATGTATGTATGTACATATATATGTATGTATGTATGAGCAAGAAAGCTGCAATTTTCACTGGGGGTTTCGGGAAATTCCACCCGCATGTGTAGAAAGATCGAGAAAAACGTTTGTATAACCCGGGCAAGGCTGGGGTATACCAGCTTTTTTCCTATGTATATAGACACAGGCCAAAATTTTCCACCCCCATAATTGACTTCCCTCTGCGCTGCAAATTGAATAAAAGCGTATTTGTGAAGGCAGCCCTCCTCTGCGATTCTCAAGAATTTAAGTACGACTTGCACGTCTTCATGCTCTGATAGGAAGTGAAGTGCCGTATGTGTGAGTGTATGTGTGTATATGTGATATGTGATATGTATGTATGTATGTATGTATGTATTTATGTATGTATGTATGTATGTATGTATGTATTTATTTATGTATGTATGTATGTAAGTATGTATGTAAGTATGTGTGCATTTATGCATGTATGTATGTATGTGTGTGTGTGTGTTTGTGTGTATGAGGGTATGTATGTATGTGCGTACATGTGTACATGTACATATGTATGTATGTACATATATATGTATGTATGTATGAGCAAGAAAGCTGCAACTTTCACTGGGGGTTTCGAGAAATTCCACCCGCATGTGTAGAAAGATCGAGAAAAACGTTTGTATAACCCGGGCAAGGCTGGGGTATACCCGCTTTTTCCTATTTATATAGACACAGGCCAAAATTTCCCACCCCCATAATTGACTTCCCTCTGCGCTGCAAATTGAATAAAAACGTATTTGTGAAGGCAGCCCTCCTCTGCGATTCTCAAGAATTTAAGTACGACTTGTACGTCTTCATGCTCTGATAGTAAGCGAAGTGCCGTATGTGTGAGTGTATGTGTGTATATGTATGTGATATGTATGTATGTATGTATTTATGTTTGTATGTATGTAAGTATGTGTGCATTTATGCATGTATGTATGTATGTATGTATGTATTTATGTATGTATGTATGTAAGTATGTATGTAAGTATGTGTGCATTTATGCATGTATGTGTGTATGTGTGTGTGTGTGTGTTTGTGTGTATGAGGGTATGTATGTATGTGCGTACATGTGTACATGTATGTATGTATGTACATATATATGTATGTATGTATGAGCAAGAAAGCTGCAATTTTCACTGGGGGTTTCGGGAAATTCCACCCGCATGTGTAGAAAGATCGAGAAAAACGTTTGTATAACCCGGGCAAGGCTGGGGTATACCAGCTTTTTTCCTATGTATATAGACACAGGCCAAAATTTTCCACCCCCATAATTGACTTCCCTCTGCGCTGCAAATTGAATAAAAGCGTATTTGTGAAGGCAGCCCTCCTCTGCGATTCTCAAGAATTTAAGTACGACTTGCACGTCTTCATGCTCTGATAGGAAGTGAAGTGCCGTATGTGTGAGTGTATGTGTGTATATGTGATATGTGATATGTGATATGTGATATGTATGTATGTATGTATGTATGTATGTATTTATGTATGTATGTAAGTATGTATGTAAGTATGTGTGCATTTATGCATGTATGTGTGTATGTGTGTGTGTGTGTGTTTGTGTGTATGAGGGTATGTATGTATGTGCGTACATGTGTACATGTATGTATGTATGTACATATATATGTATGTATGTATGAGCAAGAAAGCTGCAATTTTCACTGGGGGTTTCGGGAAATTCCACCCGCATGTGTAGAAAGATCGAGAAAAACGTTTGTATAACCCGGGCAAGGCTGGGGTATACCCGCTTTTTTCCTATTTATATAAACACAGGCCAAAATTTCCCACCCCCATAATTCTGTTAAAACTCAACCGATTTTCACGAGATTTAACTTTTTGTTCTTGGTTTGGCCTCTATATCAATTTGGCATCTAAGTCTGGCAACTTTATTTTTGGTCCAAATGAACTTGATTACCCTCAAATATCCTACATAGACACAGGCCAAAATTTCCCAACCCCATAACTCTGTTAAAACTCAACTGATTTTCACGAGGTTTAACTTTTTTTGATCGGTTCAGCATTCGAACCAATGGCAGGACAGGTAATCAAACCTGAATCAAGTTGTCCGCATCCTAATAGGTTTTGTTTCGCAACTTGCATTGCTACAATTTCCCCAGTTTTCCATTAAAGAGTTTTAAAAATGTCCCATATCCCATATATATATATCCATATATATGTACATATACATATTCTCTCAACACGGCTATAAAATTGCCTTGTCGCCTTGCCAAAGCTTTAACTTATTGAGAATTACAAGCATCAATCAACGAAAAAGGCAAAGCAAGCATAAACGGGGTCCATATCCAGCGTGTTTTACATTGCTTGCAAGCGGCTTGTTTCTATTTCGAAAGCTTTAACTCATTGAGAATTACAAGCTGGTACAATAACAAGCTTTTATGAAATATTTAAACAAAAGCTGCAATGTCCTTCGTTTGGCACATGACTCGAATATATGTACATATGTAGTTTAATACAGTGAGTCGCATTTTGTTGTCGTATCTAGTTGCAATAATAGGCCATTTGCCTCTACCAATTACGCTTTCAGTTCTTTCCCAGAGAGAAATTTAATTTGTTTGTTATTTTGCTCTGAAGCCGCCGCAAAGACGCAGCTGCTTAGCTGGGCACCAAGCCGCAGGCCATTGAAGGATTTGTGAAGAGATGCGAATTGGGGGTGGGCAGGTGGTTAGGTAACGGTGGTGTTGTTTGCGATAGGAGGTCGCATTGCCGTTTACATGGGCATGGCATCAACATCAATCAGTGCGCATGTCAGCTGCTAGCAAGGGCCATTCTCACAATGGCGAGATGACAACAACAACAACAACAACAACAATTACAATAACAGCAGCAGCCGCCGCCGCAGCCGCAGTCGCAGCCGCAGCAGCAACAGCAGCAGCAGCAGCAGCCGTAGCAGCAACAGCAGCCGCAGCAGCAGCAGCAGCAGCAGCAGCAGGTTTTGGTTCAGTGCGCTATTGGAGGAGTTTGCGTGCGGCTGAGCCTTGTCAACACAGTTAAAAAGCTAAGGCAAAAGCGAAAGCAGTGTCAATCGAGACAGACATCAGAACGGGAACGGTCCTTAATTTGGCAACTAGCTGAGCCTAAATAGTCTTTTTTTCTAGTGTCTGTGCTATTTTTTTTAATTAACAATTTGAAAGGTGAGCGTTTAAAACAAAATGACATCAAATGCAACAATGTCAAAATGAAATAGCAAATGCCAAAGCCAAAGGAAAGGCCAAACGTAAAAACAAAGACAATGGCAAAGACAAAACAAATAAACATTGAACACGAGTTTTCTATATATGTGCACACACACACACACACACACACACACACACACATACATACAAATTTAGGCATTTTAATACGCATATGCATACAGTGTGGCCAGCACTTGAATGCGTGTGTGTGGTATGTGTGTGTGTTTAGTACTGGGGATTTGCCCTTAAAATGTTAATTTTTCTATTTTGCATTGCATATTTATGATTTTTTATGCCTAAATGCTGGTCTGGTGTTGGCTTTCCGGTTGAAAGGAGTGCGGGTGCGGATACGGGTGCGGGTGGGTAGTCTAGGCATGTAAATTGTTTAACTACGCTTCAGCTGTAGCCTTGAAGGGAGCTTCATGTTCGAAGGTCGCTTGCAAATCGGTTGAGCGCTCTGCAGCTGAAATGAATGCAAATTAATAGTGTTGAAAAGCTTTGAGTTTTTAAGCTGGGCGCATTAACGGTTTAATGAGCGCATACATATACATGCACATATATACATATATATGCATGCATATGTATGCAGATCTAAGAACACAGTCACACAAGCCCATCTTTTCAGCTTCTGCCGTTGGGGGCGCTCCTGTGCGTACGTGTATTTGTACAACCAATGGACACACCTGATGATTTGCTGTGTAAGTGTGTGGGTGGGTGTGTATGTGTATTGCAAAGAGTATTTGTTGGCAGGACAACGCGACAAATGCACAGACATTATCAATGCCATATACATATGTACATGCATACACACATACATATTTGCATAGCAACATACATACATATGTACATATGCGTATTCATAGTTAATATGTATGTGAGTTTGTAATGTCTGGGTGCATAACGGCTTGTTATTTTGTTATTCATCTGTTCTAATCATTATGCATAACATTTGCACTCTTTCCGCCTCTCTAGCAGCTTAACAGACAAGAAACAGCTCAACATATCGATAAATAGAGAGCAAAGAGTGCATATCCTTTTAACATTAACAACAACAAAAAAAAAAACAGCAGCATCGATTCTAACAGTTTGGTGCTGACTGCGCTACTGCTGCTGCTGCTGCTGTTGGCAGCCGGCAGCGGACAATGAACTCTCTCATGCAGTGCGCCCAATAACACACACACACACACACACGCTTATACTCTATATAGATGCACATGCATAACGGCTGGCAGCGTCGACGGCGGTAGCAATGGCCACAACGATGTTGACGTTGGGAACGAGGACAACGAAGCAGTTGACAATTGAAAATCAAATGCGCTAACAGTTAATTACGCACGCACACATATTTGGTAAAAGATATGTATGTTCGCACTATGGTTTCCGTTTTCGGCATGCAACAACCAGGAACAACAACCACAAGAAGCACTCAGCAGTATCCGTGCCTGCAGCTTGTCGCTGTTGCGGCAAATTAAGGCTGAGACACACACACACACACACACTCACTCACACACATGCGCACACGCAAACGCTCACGAAAAACAAACGCATGAAATTGCATTGAAAAAACAATTAAAAAGAACACAACATTTTGCAAAAGCAAAAAAGAATTCAAATTATGGGCAGCCTGCCGAATTTGCATGAACTGGAGGAGGCGGAGCGTAAACGCGAGAAGCGCAGAGAGTACGAGATGCTGCTGGAGCAGCGCGCCAGGGACACGAGTCGTGAGCGCGAGCGCTTGTCGCTGTTCGCTCAGCAGCGCAAGGTAAGTTCGATAAATGATCGTTGGGCTATCGATAACATATGTTAGCAATTAACCAATTGAGCAATTGACCAATTGGATTCGCTGCTCTGACATCCAATTGGACTAGTTAATTGGATTGCTTTCCAACTGGATTGGACAGCTGCACATTGCCTGCATGCTTGACCTCCTACTGCGAGCTCTTAAAATAATCTGTTTACGTATTCAATGCAGCAAACCTCGTACAATGCGTACATTATGGCTGGCCTGGGCATCGGCGGCGGCGGCGGCTCCCTCTATCTAACGGCAGCCAATGGCCATGGCAATGGGGAGCTAACCAGCGTCAATGGCATAAAAACGCAATCAGTTGCCGAAACAACAACAACAACAACAACGGAGACAACAACAACAACAGAGACAACAGCGACAAAAATAACGTTGAGCGGCTTTGCCATGCTGGGCCTGGCCGGCAGCTTGATGGGCGTTAAGAAATATCCGCATCTTTACCATCAGCACACACATCCGCATACGCATACGCATACGCATACGCATCCGCATCCGCATCATCAGCAACGACATTCGCTGACCACACGGCATCGCGTGCTGCGCACCCGGACACGCAGCTCCGGCGGTCCCCATAACGTCTGGGACGACCAATTGTTGGAGGTGAGTAGCTGGCGGATGGGGGGTGGCGGGCGCTGCTCGGGAAAGGGTGCGTGGGCTGAAAAACGCAAACCGATGCCAGGCTTTATAATCCTGGCCCGGTACCGGACCGGACCGGACCCGACCGGAACGAGCACTCGTCATTTATTTATAGACCTTGCAAGCAATTTGTGCCTTTGACTTTGCCCTGAACGCATCGCGTTCAGCTTTAATTTGGCTTAGTGCTACTCAGCCAGGGCTGTGGTTGGTCAACACCAGCCTGCAAGTGTACGGCAGAGAGTGGGAGGGGGAGGCGGTCAAGTGTCAGCGCCAGCTACTGGATTAACGCCAACGCACAAGCACGAGAAGTAATTATACACAAACACGGACACTCGACGTGCGACACGGCGCACATCCCCCATTTAATTGAGTTTTAAATGGCCTGTCGTGGGCGAAGGGGCGGGGGATGGGGCAGGGGATGGGGATGGGGATGGGTATGGGGAAGGGGGATGGGGAAGGGGAAATCAGAATCCAATCCGACTAATGTGAAAACGCACAAATAAAGGAAGCTTCACGGTCAGCTCAAATGTCAGCTGTGTCAATTGCAAAACGGACACAAATATTTAAAAGCAATAAAAACAATAAATTGCTCTTGTCGGGAGTGACCGACTAGGCTATGCCCTGTAAACGAAACGGCTTCGATAAGATTTCGTCACAAGCATTCGAACCTTTTTTAACATGCTAATACAATATATACTAAAAAGCTCTGTTTGGGAGTGCCCGACTTGCGGATACCCTGTAACCAGTTTCGATGTTTGCATATAGACATGGATAAATTTGGTACCTAGCGTCCGGATCTTAGGGAACTCTTAAGTCTTTATTGTGGCAGCCAAATGAAAGCTCTTAAAGGATATATTCTCCCAAGACAGCAGATTGATACCGATTCTTATCGATTTCGTGGCAAGTTATCGATAATATCAAATAAACTTCTGAGCGTACCAAGGACCTTAGAGCAAAGCTTAAAGTGTGGATGCGTTCATAGAGACAGACAGCTTGACAGACAGACAGACGGACGGACAGACGGACGGACGGACAGACGGACATGGCCCCTTCGACTATTGGCAGCTTTTGCATGGAAATCTTCTGGAACTCTCTGCCAAGCTGTAAGCCAAATTGGTCTACTCCATATGGCATATGGCTTCAATTGGAATAATTGGTGGGAAGTAAGGCAGGGACCATACAACGATATTGAGTCCTAAACCCGATCCGAGTCGGATTCTTAAAATGCTAGAGACTTGAAGCTATATATATATATATATATATATGTATATGTTTGTATATTATACGCAGGTCGAGTTTCTAAATCGTTAACCGATATCATCTGAAATATTCATAAGATCGATTTATATCGATTTTGAAACTTGGTTTTTGAGCACAGCTCGAGTATTATGTGGCTTCTATTATTGAAATATATTTCATTTTGAATGCCACACCTCCATTTCAAAATTGAAAAAATCGCTTATCCAAAGGTAAAGCATTGTGTACTTTGGCATATACAAACACTGAGGTGAGTGTCATGTTGAGGCCCTGAAAAAAGATCACAAAGATCGGACTATAAATAGTTACAAGTTACTCGAGAACGCATTTCTTATAGAGCGTGGGGCTGAGGCAAGAAGAAGCACAGCCGTAGCATAAACTGGATGTGTAAGTGTGTGTAGAGGCAGGCTTGGCACAGCTGACGGTTCTGGGTACAGGGTATCTGCCAGTCGGGCACACCCGACTAGAGCACTACACAGAACATTTGTGATTAATGTTTGTTCCATCTGCAGCAGATGACCGCCTACTCGCCGTCGCCGATCTCGACGCGCTCGCATCGTATAAATCCGGTTTCCTCGTACCAGGTGCAGGCCGCGCTGGCGGCATCGCGTCGCCGGGAATCGATAAACAGCTCCATTGGTGCGACCTCGATCCGGCGGCTGATCACGCTGAACAACCGCAACTGCCGTCACAAGGTGCCCGCCCATGTCCGGCAGAGGGTGTGGCGCCAGTTCATCTGCCTGAGCATTGCCCACGGCCTGATGAGCGCCGTCCTGCTGCCAATGATGGCGTTGCAGGGCTCCAGCTCGGTTTGGCATCATCGCGAACAGTGGCTGCCGTTGGGCCCCAACATTGGATCGCTTCTGCTGAGCGCGCTCTTTCTGCTGGCCGCCGGCCTCAGTGTGCCGGGCACGCGGCTAATCCGTCGATTTGGCTATATGCCGCTGCTGGCGGCCAATTCGCTGGCGGTATCGCTGTTCCTGCTCGCGCATCTGTACGCCTCCATCTATACGCTGCTGCCGGCGTATTTGGTGCTCGGCATTACGCTGAGCGCCGCCAACAGCTGCAAGGCGGCGCTCATTGTCCACTTTGGCGGCAAGCTGACCTGCGCCCAGCACGAGTGCCCCCCGCTGGTCGGAACGCAGACGGATGCACTGCACGAGGAGCACAAGATGTTCTGCAATCGGGATCAGAAGGTGCGACGGCTGGCGCGCTGGTATCGCGCCGCCCAGGATCTGGGCCTGATTCTGGGCGCGCTGCTGGCCTCGCTGCTGCTCGCGTGCAATGCCAACGACTGGAACTGCTCGGCGGGCACTGGGGAAGCGCTGCCAAATGGTACGGAGCCGCTGCCGGAGGACTTTTACAATCGCAACGAGCACGGCGAACGCATTTGTGGCGCGGACATGTGCCCGCTTCAGCTGCTGCAGCTCAACTGGCCGGAGAACAGCACACGCTCGATATACGCGGGCTTCATTGAGAGCGGCGACCGCGCCGGCGGCCAGTCCCTGCTCTGGCTGTACGAGCTGCTCTCCCTATTGGCGCTGATGTTGTCCATGCTGCAGGGACGTCGCGTGCTGGCCGTGGCGGTACGGCACGAGCGTGTCGTCAAGGATGTAACAGATACGCTGCTCTTTGCCGGACCCCTGGCCTATTTTGTGGGCACCGAACAGGGCTATATGCTGGGCGACTTTCTGCGCGCCTTTGTCTCCTGCTCCTTGGGCATTAGCATGGTACCGGGCGCCCTCATCGGCATGGGCCTGATGCAGCTAATCGTCTCCTGCACGCTCAGCATGCTGTTGCGGCACACCAAACGCATTGTCGTCATATGTAAGTAAACGCCAATTATATTCTTTAACGATTGATTTGCTTCAAGCTCGACTACTCGATCGAGCATCGAGCTACGCTTTGTTCGAACGAAGCTCGACCTGCAACATGTTCGAGCTCGTTTGATTCGAGCTAAGTTTTTTTTCAAATCGAACCTTATGTTCGATCGATCCGATCTACTCAATTTGTTGTCTGCAACTCGAACCGGTCGAGCTGGAATTACAAAATTATCCATCTAATCGTTGGGCTTGCCCAGTGGCTGGTTTCTTCTTTCATTCGTGCTTGCTGCTGGCGCTGTCCAGCTGGAAGCCATCGAGCGATGACAGCGCCCTCTTCTATGTGATAGCCGCCTCGTGGGGCGCCTGCAACGGCATGTGGGAGACGCTGCTCCTGTCGCTGATCACCCTCAATCATGTCCAGCACGATCAAGTCACGGATGTGAACGCATCGCTGCAAGCGCTCCGCTTCCTTGGCCTGGCCATCACATTTGCGGCGCATGGATTTCTCTGCGAATCGGTGAAGATCATTGTCCTGGTCGTGCTGCTGGTGATCAGTGTGCCGCCGTATGCGATGCTCGAGATACGACTGGAGGCGCAGCGGAAGGCGACGCTCATCAGCTTATGACGCAGCTACTTCAGCTAGTCCAGGGGGCGTGGCACTGTGGCACGCACGCACACCATGTAGATGCGGGCGAGCGTAGTCACAGGCCAACTGATGCCGTCTGATGACAACAGGATAACAGCAGGGACGACCATCAAACGGAGCCGCAGTCCTGCCAATCTAACCAGTATTCAAAGAGACAAGGAGACAGACGGAGAGGGCGAGCGAGAGAGAGAGAGAGAGAAGAGAGAGAGAGAGAGCGAGAAATAGCTCTTGGAATATTTAATTTTGTATGTCAAAGATTTATACCCAGCTCCACATTTGGAACATTTGGAGCCAATAGTCCAATTCAAAAGCTAGACCCCAAGTCCATAACTGTTCTTAGTACGCGTACACTGTCTATATACATATATAACATATATATATATACATATATATCTCCATGTATACTATATATATATATATACATATATGTATTGTATATCCATAATATATATCTTATTGTACCTATTTATCTAATCAAAACATGTGCCAGTGCCAACAATGTTGTTCCAAATCCTTACGAAATTTGGACTAGACAAGTCCGCAGCCTATCTGATTAGTTGACGTATATACATATATATATATATATATATATATCGATATATATATATATATCGATATATATATCGATATATATAGGATAATTAGAAGCGTTCCTCTCGTCAGTTGCCAATGGATAATGCTTAGGCTTAGCTTGAAGAATTATAATTGGCATTATTAGGCGATAACTGTGTGCCATCAGCAAAACAAATATGTTCTATATATTCCTCGATGTAAATGTGAAACGTGACTCTTAATGCATGTCTCTCTAGATGCTAGATACAAAATATAAGGAAAGCATCGCGTTCTGTATTTCGTTATCGATTCAATATTCAATTCAAATATTAAGTATTATCTCAATGGAATCCAAAATGTTCTCGTCTTCAAATTCACTCTAAAAAATATATATATATATATTTATTCGAAATGGAATCGAAAACGAAATCGAGAATGGGACAAGATATAACGATATTTTTCATTTATTTCGGCTCATTAGAAGAAAAACTAAAAGCTTCAAATGAGACATTGTATTCGATTGTATTTCAAATATCGATATCGAAATCGAAATCGAAATACAGCTCAGATTCAATTTCTCGTCAATTTCGATCAAACGGTATTAGCCGAAATGACGCTGAGAAATCGAAATTGGGAACATGTCTGAGGTATTCGAAATAGTCAATACCTTAAAAAGCCCTGAATCGCTGTGAACCTGATAGAAACATGTGTTAGCTCCTAGAATGTATGTATATGGATGTCAAATGTCGTCGTGCTATATGCCATAATGCTGCGCTTGATGTATTTGGGAATTGGTTTCGTTTGAGAAATGTGTCCAGTTGGTCAATTGGCTGCCGAACCCAACCCAGCCCAGAAACATACAAAACAAATTCCACTTGAACTAAATAAACGTATATTCGCTAGGATAGCAAAGGTGAAATCCTAAGGTCTAAAAACAATGTTAACATTTTACGCAGAAACAAACTTTTAACAAAACAAATACAAAATGAACAAAAAAAAAAACAACAAAAAAAATGAAAAACAAATACATTTTTGTAATTGAGACTTTATATATATGGACAGTTATCGGAACAGGAAAATTTCGAATGCATTTTCATACACGCATTTCCAAAAGCAAAAAAAAAAAAAAAATAATAATATTATTTACACTGTTGACCTCCATATTTAGGGCAAGTCTCTGGGGTCTTTTTTTTTTTTTTAATTTTTTTTTTTTTTTTTTTTTTAATAGATGTCTAGGGAAGCGGAAATACCCAAAATATACAAGAGCTAAAATGCGAAATTAATAAATGAATAAATAAATAATAAAAAGAAAACACAGTGATAGCAAAAAGATAAAAGCTAATAAAAAAAAAACCAAATAGAGTTAACCAAAGAAATACGAAAACAAATTAAAAAAAAATCAATAAAATCGAATTAATTAAATGGTTCTGCAAATTGTTAAGCACATGCCACACATAGTACATCTAAGTATTAACGATTTATGAATAAATACGACAACTTATTTATATGTGTACAAAATCAATAAAGCGATTATCCACATTGAACTTTGCTCCGTTTGCACCCGCAGAACACACACACTGGGCGCTAGAAGTATTTGTATTCATCATATATATCGTCATTCATTCATTCATTATATATATCGTCATTTGATAGTTTAAGCATGGAACATAAATACCCTGCAACATTATTAACAGACGAGTTGTTGTCGTTCTTTTTTGTTGAGTTCTTTGCGTTGTTCTCCCTCTGAGTATCGAGTTATATTCAGATTATTCAGATTTATAACTATACCCAAACTGGTTTTTCAAATATAATTGCGAAACAGGTAGAATTCGTTTTTTTTCTTTTAATATTATTTTTATATTTTCGGCAAATATTCACGAAGCTAGAAAGATTTTTTATGCAGCTGGATTATTTGTATATAAATTTTAAAGGTTTGCGAGTTGCCCAAATCCTGATTAAAATCAAGTAAGAGGCATTTAGTCGGCAGTCTCCGACTAGGGAATATCCCAAAATTGTAGAGCTAGAAAACAAATGAAAGATTCCGGAATTGTATATATTATACTAGAAGAAAAAAATTTGAGGACTCTATCTCTAAAAACCTAACCGATTTGCCTATATGTATGCATGTATGTGTGTATGTATGTATGTGTGGGTATGTAAGTATGTATGTTTGTATGTATGCATGTATGTATATGTGTGTACGTGTGTATGTATATATGTATATGTATGTATGTGTGTTTAAAAGTATGTATGTATGCATGTGTGTTTGTATTCATGAAAAGTATGTATGTATGTGTATATATATGTTTGTATTGTGTATGAATATGCGTATGTATATATGTCTATATATGTGTATGTGTATATATGTGCGTATGTATGCTTGTATAAGTGTGTACGCATGTATGTGTGTATGTACATTGATGTGTGTAAGATATTATTATGTATGTGTGCAAGTGCGTATATGAGTGTATGTATGTAGTTTGCATGTATGCGAGATTGTGTGCATGTTTATATATATATATTTGCATGTCTGTATAAATGCATGTATGTATATAAGAATTTGTGTATGTTTCCATGTATATATGTACATACGTATGACTTGTGAATTTATATATGTGAATAAATATATATAGTATATATATTTTGTTTGTTCATATGCAAGACCAACTTTAACTCTAGCTGCGATGCAAATTAAAAAAAAACGTATTCTTAACTAGTGCCCTTCTACTCGATTCTCATGAATTCAAGTAAGTCTCATGGGCTTCACTTCGAGTAGAGGAGGTGGCTTCAACGATTGAGGAGGCGGCATCAGTTCGAGCAAAGGAGAAGACGGCGGTTTTAACTACAGTGAAGACTGCAGTTCGAGCAAAGGAGGAGACGGCGGCTGTTTCAACTATTAGGACGGAGACTGGAGAACAAAGGAGAAACTGGTACGTATTATCAACATAAATTTGTCTTCTTGTATTTTAAATAAAAGTAACAACTATTACAATCGTATGTATGCATTTGAATGCACATTTTAATATTGCTCTTCTACGCGATTCTCACTAATTCAAGTAAGGTTTGGCAAGCAAGCTGCATTTAATGCTAATCAACAATTTCTCTGCTTTTCTGTCCTTTCAGTGCTGTCTCTACATGAAAGTTCGACTCCCACCTGCTGATAGATGGCAATCAAATAATCGTGCGTGTGAATTTACAGGTGAGTACACAATTACCAATATATATTTATCTCTATACATAAAACAGTTTGTTGACTAACTGATTGGTGATCAACGCATAGCCCAAACCAAGACCTCTATTTGTAAAAATTTGTTTTTATTACTGCCAATGCAAACGAATTCGTAGCGCGAGCTGCAGTTCGTGTTGGTAGAAGAGGGTTCGGGTTATTCCCTAGTCAGGAACAAAGCCAGAAAATACCCGCTAGTACAGATACATATATGGACATTTCAAATTTCTTACACATTTCCCACTGGCTGTTCCAAAAAAATAGCCTACAAACCAATAAACGCATACTACAGGGTATAGCAGGCACATTCATACTGCATGTCCGTATATTTATGACGGTCAGTGTCGGCGTTTAGGGTCAAGCAAAGAGCTTAACTTGTTAACTTACAACGCCATTCACGACGCCGACAGCTTTCGCCAAAGCTCAAACCTGTCGCAGGGCCAGCGAGTGCGAGCGAGACAGAGAGCGCAATGCAGCTCGTGCTGGGCTTAAAAATGACTTTAAGCTGAGTCTATTAAGCTTATTCAGCAGCTAACCCAACCCCCCCCCCCCCTTGCGACAGCACGCGCGCACACAATCCCCCCCCCTCCTCCTCCTCCTCCTCTCAGCTAGAAGCGAAGGCGAGCGAGCAGGCGGCAGGCAATATTTCAATTAAGCATCGAATACAGGCATAAAACGTTTAATGCCTGTGTCCATGTGTGTGTGTGTGTTGGTGTGTTGGTGAGTCTGTGTGCGTTGGTGAGTCTGTGTGCGTTGGTGAGTCTGTGTGCGTTGGTGAGTCTGTGTGCGTTGGTGTGTATTTGTATAGGGCAAATAAGCTTTCGGGGGGGCTTTATCAATTGAACGGCGCGATTTTTGGCACTGCCGCTGCTCAGTTGCTCGGCGAAATCGAAGGGGATCGCAGTGCATTGCGTCAGGCGGCGTCGACTTCAAAGGGTGGTCAACCACAAAGAAGAAGAAGAACAACAACAACAACAACAACAAGATGATGACAACAGAAACAGCGACAACAACAACAACAACAACGAGAATGAGAACGGCCCAAGAAGTGGAGGCCATGTTAAGCGAGCTCTCGAGTTGGTTCGAAAACGAACCAAACTTGCCCGACAAAATAGGTGAGTCCCCAAAATATCCAATCCGAAAATGTCCAATTATAAGGGATAAATTGGGCTAGGTAGGAATTAAGTGCCGCAATTTGGCATAACTAACGTAAAGTAACAACGCATTTGGTCAAGCGAATACATCGCCCAATTAATCTTATCAACTCAACCCAGCCCCAGGCACTTGTAATTGTATAGATAAATTAATGCGTGATGTTGCGTGTGGGGCTATTAAACAATAAACACAAAAAAAAAAAAAAACGAAAGAAAACAATTTTCAAAGTAACCAGCAACGGCACACCGAAGATTTGAAATACCCTTCTAGACACTTGTCTTACGGCCTTGCATATATGTATGTATGTGAGCAAAGTGAGGCTTGCAAATGCTGAGTTTGGTGCAAATATATAATAATAATAATAAAATTGATAATAATAATAATAATAATAATAATAATAAAAATAATAATAATAATAATAATAATAATAATAATAATAATAATAATAATAATAATAATATAATGATAATGATAATGATAATGATAATGATAATAATGATAATGATAATGATAATGATAATGATAATGATAATGAAAATGAAAATGATAATAATAATAATGATAATGATAATAATAATGATAATGATAATGATAATAATGATAATAATAATAATAATGATAATAATAATAATAATAATAATAATAATGATAATAATAATAATAATAATAATAATAATAATAATAATAATAATAATAATAATAATAATAATAATAATAATAATGATGATAATGATGATAATGATAATGATGATAATAATTATAATCATAATAATATATACATAATAATAATATTAGAAAACAGAATATCAGAATAATCATTTTTCAACCGATTCTTCCGATGGAGCTATACAACATAGTAAAGCGATTTTGATAAGATTTTGCCTACACTTATATAAGCAGCCGGGTTCGGTCAAGATATCTTGATAAGCAAAGAACTTTTCCATATATGATATAGTGCCCCGATCTGGACAGTTCTGACATACATATATACTGCCTGCAACAGAAAGGCGGAACTATTTCACATAGGAAACAGACAGACGGGCAGGGATATATCCACTCGACTGTTGAAGCTGATCTAGAGGTATATGTATGTATAAATATCATGATAAAATGATAATACTCTCTACAAGGGTATTAACATGGCAGGAACGAACAGCTTACTTCGTCACGTCAAAGATTAAATACCCTTGCAAAGGTCGAATAGGCTTTGTAATTCTTTAATAGGTAAGCCTTATAAGCTAATCCATTGATCCACATAATATAGATAATGTGATAAGATCAGTTGGGAAAATCAGAATAGAATTTGAAAATTAAGCTATATATATATGTATATATATATAGGGCCCGATCAAAAGTATTTATCTCTTTGGTACAGAGAAGTTCGCATAGAAAGACAGACTTTGGTCAGCTGATACTGATCAAGAATATAAACATATGCTATATATATGTATATACTTAGTTTATCAGGTGCTAGACATCTACTTCTTTGTGTTGCACAGTTCGCGATAAGAGTTTTAAACCCTCGGCAAGGGTATATTGTATACAATTAAATTCCGCATGCGAACATATGTACATATATATGTATATATATAACTGCAAGCGTATATTATGGAAAAGATAATTGTAGTATAACTGGCATTTCTAATCATTTACTGCAGAGCCGATCGTATTGCTACGCTTTCTCAAGTGCATGCATTATGATGTGGAAAAGACAAAGACCCTAATCCAGCTTAATTATAGTCTGCGCAACAAGAACCCCAATTTGTTTCTGGACCGCAACATGGAGCACGAGACGACGGCCACGGGCCTAAAAGTGTCGTAAGTCAAAAACTACTTGAACTTTCTTCTCAAAATCCGCTTGATTCTCTTAATGATAACACTTGTGCTTTCAGAGATCTACTCATTCTGCCAGGCGTCACACCGGAACGGCATAAGCTGCTCTTATTCCGCATGGCTGACTTGGATCCCAGCACGGTAAACTTATATATATACATATATATATTTATATATATATATTAACCTGTTTTGTGCCAGTTAGCTGTTGCTCTTTGATTACATGATCAGCTGAATTCATGTTTGATGTAGAAAAGCGCCTTTGTATACCCTTGCAGAGGGTATTTTAATTTTGTCGTGAAATGTGTAACGCATAGAAGGAGACATCTTCGACCCCATAAAGTATATATATTCTTGATCAGTATCAACAGCCGAGTTGATATAGCCATGTCCGTCTGTCCGTCTGTCTGTTTCTATGCGAACTAGTCTCTCAGTTTTAAAGCTATCTTTATGAAACTTTGCAGAATTTCCTCTTTTTGTTGCACGCAGCTCATATGTCAAAACCAGCTGGATCGGGATCGGGACCACTATATCATATAGCTGCCATAGGAACGATCGGTCGAAAATTATGCTGTTGTATGGAATTTTTTTTGTTTTTCAAGATATCTTGACCAAGCTCGGCATTTATTAGTTTTACTATGCTCCCTCCACTTATGCAAAATCTTATTCACATCGGGCTACTATATCATATAGCTGCCATAGGAACGATCGGTCGAAAATTAAGTTGTTGTATGGAAACCTGTTTTGTTTTTCATGATATCTTAACCATACTCGGCATTAACTATTTTCCCTGTGCTTCTTAGATACGGGCAAAGCACTATGAGGTTGGGTCTGCAAGGGTATTAAATCTTCGGTGTGCCGAAGATAGCACTTCTTTCTCGTTTTTAGTTATTTACAATTCGATTCATGCGGCTGGAACATGGGTGGAAACTGTGGCAAGCAACTTGTTTGTCTTTCATCCGATTTGCTTTCAACTCTTTTTCAAATATGTGGGTGAAAATGTTTCACATATTTCCGGGAATCCACCTTTATTGGTGAAAAGTATGCGTCGTCCGATTTATTTTATTTTTACATTAATTTTTTCACTTATGGAGCTTTCAAATCCACCGTCTAGGTAGATAATAGAGCTATATATTATATATATATATATATATGTATATACATATTTATATTTCGGCAATTTTTAAACCCTAGCGCAACTCCGTGGAGGAGAGCAAAATCTTCTTTATGATGGCCGATGCACGATTCACGGAACCAGATGTAGAAAGGCCGGCAACAGATGCTGTCCATGGTCAGGCCACTGGCGTTGTTGACGATGATATTGCCGATGGCGATGTCCAGATCGTTGACATCAATGGTTATACGATGAGGCATTTAGCCCATGTTTCGATCTTCGTGCTGCGAGTCTACATGAAGTTTCTACAGGAGGCATATCCCTCGCGTCTGCGCGCCATACACATAATTAACTGTCCATCGTTTCTGGACCGCATGATGGCCATGATGAAGCCCTTTATTAGGGAGGAGGTCTACCAAATGGTAAGTGAACGACTTTAATTTCCCGCCGATTAATATCTTAATGTTAACCATCTAACAACTATATAGATCAACTATCATACCGAGGGCATGGATAGTCTCTATGAGTCGGTGCCCAGGGATATGCTACCCGTGGAATACGGTGGTAAAGCTGGCACAATTGCCGAAATCAAACAACACTGGCTGCAAATCTTGAAGGATAAAACGTAAGTCCATGCTGTTGAAAGGAATGTAGATACATTTGGATGGGATGTGGGAACGATCCGAAGTAGGAATTAACCAATAACTTATTGTAATACCTGTATTAGCTGATTCAGTTGCATCTGACAGACACGAGCTTTCGAGTGTCGAGCTAAGCTTTGTTCGAAATAACGATTCATACAACGCGACAACATTCATACAAACGAAGCTCGACCTGCAACATGTTCGAGCTAACCAGAAATAATATATATTCGAGCTTTGAAGCGAAATAGTCGAGTTTGAGGCGAGCTCGATTGGTTCGAGTTAATTTTTCCGGACGAACCGATTTTTCAGGTCGAGTCGAATGACTCGATCTTTTCTCTGCAACTCGAACAACTCGAGCTCGAGCCGAAAAACTTTGAGTCTTGACTGACTCGACCTCGCAATAATTGTTTGAGTATTCGAAACGCGTTTAGATTTACTCGTGGCAGGGCTCTAATTTGTAGACCCTTTGCTGGGAATATATATACGCAATGTGTAAAGTCACGAAATCGATAACTATCGATTAGGTATATTCTCCTGCACATAAAAGGTATATCCTTGAGATGTCTTTGGGCATTTGAATGCCCTATTTATTCATAGTTATTCGAAAGTCAAACTCGATATATAGAAGAATGAACCTAATATATATTTTCAATTCCAGCGCATATCTGAGCGATGATAAATACTGGAAGGTGTCATCGGGGAGCAAGAGTCGCTGGTCCTGGTTCTAATATAGAGCTTCATACAAATTTGTTTAAAATGTGATATGTGTGTATAATGTTAAGAGTTTTCGAGCGTGACGAATATCGGGCAACCCAAACATCGGATTACGGCTTCAACTTGATATATTTAAGCAGTGATTTTTGAATTGAAATATCTATGACAAAGTTATAATGCTTGAGGTTTAAAAAAAAATACACAGTTTTGTTTGTTTTTTTCTTTTTAACCAGTTTCGGGATTTTTTTTTTTTTTTTTTTGTTTTCATGTATTTTGTTTGTGTTCAAATTTTCGAATGGAGACAATTGGCGCATTACTCCGGCCCCACAGGCGACAGCTGCAGAATCTGGCGATTGGGCTGAGCTGCGTAAAGCTGCTGCGGGGCTTGGGCTTGGTTTTGCGCATGAAAACGGATCGAACCAACGACGCCATCTCCATAAAGCCGCTGCTGGGCGCTCTGCTGCTGGCCGCGCTGGGCATGCGACTGGCCCAGCTGAGCGGCGATCGTCTCTCGCTGAAGATCAATAGCACCAGTCTGGCGGTGAACCTGGTCTTTCTGGGCATGTTCTATGGCTATGCGCCGCCGGCTTGCAAGCGCCGCATTTGGCGCAAGACGCTGCCAATTGTCCTGCTGATTGTGATCTGTTTGGTTTATTCAGTGATCCGGGCGGAGGCGGCGACAGTCGAGCGACATTTGAGCATCATGATGACGGCGACCACATCCCTTTTGATTGTGATGGGGCTGCTGCAGCGAACTGGCGCTGTGCTCGGCTGCCTGATATCCATAATGGTGGCCACATCCAAATTGCTCTATGCACTCTCCATGCTGAATACGTTCATGTGGTATCAGAATCTGTTGGTGCTCTGTCTGGACGTGCTGCGCGTTGCCTTCGCACTCGCGGCGCGACATCGGAGCGCAGCTTTTGGCGATTCGCGCCAAAATATCGCAAAAAGAGGGCTTTAACACATCCGAAGTTTTAATGATCCATTATGTGTATATTTGTGTGCGCACAGTAAAAATTCATTTTATCAGATCGTAAACATGGCCTAATGTTGGCTATTTAGTGTAAAACCCATTAACAACCAAATCAAACGGCATCGCGTTTCTGTTCATATTTGAATTCATAATTGTGGTATGAATGGTTTCGGTTTCGGTTTCGGTTTCGATTTCGATTTCAGTTCAAAATGATTGCCAAGCGTGAATTCAATGCACGACCAGGTGATTAGATTGATGCGCAGAAGCTGTAACTGATGAGCCCGGGCACAAATTTTGGGCACTATTAAGCGCCCACAAATGGCAAATGGAAGCGGAAAGCAATTTAAAAATGTTGGTACGTGTGCGAATGGAGACGCGCGGATACGTATACGCAATATCAATCAATAATCGCATTTAAATATGTACACGAATAATGGACACAAAAATTTAAAGGCGACGCTGGGCCAGTCAGTTGGGCAGCAGACTTCAAACGCAACGGTTCGCTGCGCACGCATTTGAAAACCGATTCCGATTCTGATTCCGATACCGATTGCGAGTACACGAGTACGAGTACCTTTGTTTCGATAACGATACGATAACTCAAGCATGAGCGGCGATAGTGAGAGTGAAAATCAGCTGAGACGCGATCGTGATCTGGCCGAGCTTTGCGAATGGTTTGCTTGCAATGAGAATCTGCCACAAGAAATTGGTAAACATCTTTTGGGGGGCGGGGGAAATGATGCAATGCCCTGGCTGGCGCTAGAGTGGCAGACTGAGGGGGGGAATTGTTGAAATTTTGCCAGCGCATGTAAACACTCGTCTCCATTGACCCAACCATACGTCAATAATACTTAATGAGGTCGTTAGTAGGCAGAGCAGTTTTTCGGCCATTTTAATAGCCCATATGCTGTATGCTGGGCGGCCGTTGCGTCATGGCCCATCTATATATACATATATATAAATATTTTTACCACATATACTTATGCATATTTATTTTGGCAGAGCCTCTACTGCTGCGCCGCTTTTATCAGTGTATGTACGGCCATGTGGAGGACACCAAGAAGCTCATCGAGGTGAACTATGCTCTGCGCAACAAGCACCCGCATCTGTTTATCAAACGGGATCCGCTGGACGACGACAGCCGTCGCACCTTTGACTATGCGTATGTCTCATTTCAGTTGTCATTTGGAAAAATAATCTTAACTTTCGTTTGCAGGGATATATTACCGCTGCCGGGACTGACGCCGGATAACTACAAGGTGTCGCTCTACTGCTTCAAGGACTTTGAGCCGTCCAAGGTAAGCATCATTACAGTTTGAACTAATGTCTATCTGCTGCTGATCAACAATTTCTTTGCAGATGCATCACACAGAGGATACGCGCGCATTTTTTATGGTCACCGACTGTCGCTTTATAACGGTCGATGATCCGGCTCGACCCGAGCTGCTGTCGGAGGGCGAGGTGCAAATCTTTGATATGAAGGGCACCACAATGCGCCACATATCGCGTCTAACGATTAGCACGCTGCGTGCCTATATCAAGTTCCTGCAAGTGGCGTTCCCAGTGCGCCTCAAAGCCATCCATATGATCAATTGTCCCACGTATCTGGATCGCATTGTGAGCGTGGTGAAGCCGTTCATCAGCGATGAGGTCTTCAGATTGGTGCGTCCTATCATCGAGTATATTTGGCCTGTTCTCGAATTACATCCATTTTAGATAAGATTTCACACATCCAACATTGAATCGCTGTACACGTTCGTGCCGCGTATGATGCTGCCCGAGGAATACGGCGGCTGTGCCGGATCGCTGGCCTCGCTGCGTGACCAGACCCAAAAGGTTCTGGCCGAGAAGCGGTGAGAATAGCTAAAGAAGCATATGTATATGAACGGATAAATGTGAATGACCGAATGTTCTATTTTTTAGGGACTATTTAATGGATCCCAATCATTGGCACGTTGAGAAGCCCGAGAAGCGTAACGGTAAATCGTGGAAACTGTTTAACTGAGGCGACTGCACTAAGACCTATTGACATTTTTTTTTTATAGCTGTATTATTTGAATTTGTTTGATTTTTGTTGATAATTGTGTAGCTTTTGTATTTGCTATGTTGTGTGTTTGTATATAATATTGGAAATATGGGATTGTTCCTTTGAGGCTTATTAAACGGATGCCTTATGAAGTTCTTAAATCTTATTGTTATTTAAAACAGTTTTAAATGCAACATTACCCGCACAAATATCGAATACGCTGTGTGCAAAACAATATAACAATGTGTTAATAACAAATTAAACAATGAGCCAAATTTAGCACACTTTTACTTGTACTTCAAATACGTTTATGAAGAGTTATCGATGCTGCTGTCTTTGTAATCGATATGTGTCGTATTTTATCGACGCTACTCGATAACTTTGACGCTGCACTTTGAATGCCAGACTAGTGTGAAGAAGAAGCATTCGCAATTGGCGCATCTCTAATGCCGTGTTTATTTTGAGGAACAGCAACCGCACATATTACTAAAAAAAAAAATAAAATAAAAGTGCTGTAAAGCGAAATTTGATTGAGTTGACGAGATTTTTAACAACAAACTAAACATGGAACGGCCACAGAAAATGCCCAAGGTGGCAAAGGTATGTGGTTTAATTTACCGGAAGCATCGCATCTCAACGAAAAACGTTTTGCTTTCAGGTGAAAAACAAAGCGCCAGCCGAGGTGCAAATCACCGCGGAGCAGCTGTTGCGCGAGGCGAAAGAGCGTGATCTGGAGATATTGCCGCCGCCGCCCAAACAGAAAATCTCAGATCCCGCCGAATTGGCCGATTACCAGCAACGGAAACGTAAAACGTTTGAGGATAACTTACGCAAAAATCGCATGGTGGTCAGCCACTGGATCAAGTACGCACAATGGGAGGAGCAGCAGCAGGAGATACAGCGTGCACGCTCCATATGGGAGCGGGCGCTGGACAACGAGCATCGGAATGTAACGCTCTGGCTGAAATATGCCGAAATGGAGATGAAGAACAAACAGGTGAATCATGCACGAAATCTATGGGATCGTGCTGTCACCATAATGCCACGCGTCAATCAATTCTGGTACAAGTACACCTACATGGAGGAGATGCTCGAGAATGTGGCCGGTGCTCGGCAAGTCTTCGAGCGCTGGATGGAATGGCAGCCGGAGGAGCAGGCATGGCAGACGTACGTGAATTTTGAGCTGCGCTACAAGGAAATCGATCGTGCCCGCGAGGTCTACGAACGGTTCGTCTACGTCCACCCCGATGTTAAGAACTGGATCAAGTTTGCGCGCTTCGAGGAGACGCATGGATTCATACACGGTGCTCGGCGTGTCTTTGAGCGTGCGGTTGAATTCTTTGGCGATGAATACATCGAGGAGCGTCTGTTCATTGCCTTTGCCCGCTTCGAGGAGGGCCAGAAGGAGCATGAGCGCGCGCGCATTATCTATAAATATGCACTGGATCATCTGCCCAAGGATCGCACGCCCGAGCTGTTCAAGGCCTATACCATACACGAGAAAAAGTATGGCGATCGGGCGGGCATCGAGGATGTGATTGTGTCCAAGCGCAAGCATCAATACGAACAGGAGGTGGCCGCCAATCCGACCAACTACGATGCCTGGTTTGATTATCTACGCCTAATCGAGGCCGAGGGCGACAAGGAGCAGATACGTGAGACCTACGAGCGCGCCATTGCAAATGTGCCGCCGGCCAAAGAGAAGAACTATTGGCGTCGCTACATCTATATATGGATCAACTATGCTCTGTACGAGGAGCTCGAGGCGGAGGATGTGGGGCGCACACGGGACATCTACAAGACCTGCCTGGAGCTGATACCCCACAAACAGTTTACGTTCAGCAAAGTGTGGCTGCTGTACGCACAGTTCGAGCTGCGCTGCAAGGAGCTGCAGAAGGCGCGCAAATCCCTCGGCATGGCCATTGGCATGTGTCCCAGGGATAAGCTATTTCGCGGCTATATCGATCTGGAGATACAGCTGCGTGAATTTGAGCGCTGTCGTTTGCTATATGAAAAGTTTCTCGAATTTGGGCCCGAGAATTGCGTTACATGGATGAAATTTGCCGAGCTCGAGAACCTGCTGGGCGATACGGAACGTGCACGGGCCATCTTCGAGCTGGCCGTGCAGCAGCCGCGCTTGGATATGCCCGAGCTACTGTGGAAGGCGTACATTGACTTTGAGGTCGCCCTGGGCGAAACAGAGCTAGCCCGGCAGCTATACGAGCGGCTGCTGGAGCGCACGCAGCATGTCAAGGTCTGGATATCGTTTGCCAAATTCGAGATGGGCGTCAGTCATGGCCAGGGCAGAGATGTCGAAGCGGATGCGGATGCCGACATGAGCATATGCCTGGCACGTCGCGTATACGAGCGTGCCAATGATATGCTGCGACAGCTAAACGACAAGGAGTCGCGTGTCCTGCTCCTGGAGGCGTGGCGCGACTTTGAGCGCAATGTGAACGATGCGCAGTTCCTGCAAAAGGTGCTCGACAAGATGCCGCGTCGCATCAAGCGGCGACAGAAGATCGTCTCCGATGACGGCGTCGAGGAGGGCTGGGAGGAGATCTTCGATTATGTATTCCCCGAGGATGAGATGGCGCGACCAAATCTCAAGCTCCTGGCCGCCGCCAAAATGTGGAAGAAGCAAAAGGACAACGACATGGACACCGAGCCAGCGGCAGCAGCAGCAGCTCCAGCCGAATATATGAAACCACCTCCAGCTCCAGTTGATGCATAGAAAGGCAACCACCCTGCCCCGCTTCCTACCCCTGCAAGCTCTTACACTTTAAAATAAACATTTGAATGGAATTTGTGTGCAGTGCTTTTTTTTTATTCTATTTCTGATTACATTCTAAACTGTGTGCGTTTCGAGTGGCTCCTCCTAAGGATTTCTATGTACTATAATTATATATACATATATATATATATATGTCTGTCCTGATCGACCAACTGAAGATCTCGGCACAGTTCAAGCCGTCAGAGCTGGTCAACTGACTTTTGTATTGTAGTTTATGTGATCTAAGTGCAGGCTAAGGCGAACGAATCATTTGTGGCGCGTTTCACACTTTTCGCTAAATCCACGCTCTTGGGTGGAAACTGAAAATCTCGGCACAGTTCAAGCCGTCAGAGCTGCACAACTGACATTTGTATTGTAGTTTATGTGATCTAAGTGCAGGCTGAGGCGAACGAATCATTTGTGGCGCGTTTCACACTTTTCGCTTAATCCACGCTCTTGGGTGGAAACTGAAAATCTCGGCACAGTTCAAGTCGCCAGAGCTGGTCAACTGACTTTTGTATTGTAGTTTATGTGATCTAAGTGCAGGCTAAGGCGAACGAATCATTTGTGGCGCGTTTCACACTTTTCGCTTAATCCACGCTCTTGGGTGGAAACTGAAAATCTCGGCACAGTTCAAGTCGCCAGAGCTGGTCAACTGACTTTTGTATTGTAGTTTATGTGATCAAAGTGCAGGCTAAGGCGAACGAATCATTTGAGGCGCGTTTCACACTTTTCGCTAAATCCACGCTCTTGGGTGGAAAACGCGAAGCTGAAATTTTAGATTTATTTTTGTGCATTTTATTCGATCGATCTATCTAAATTATATTTAAAAACTCACGAAGGGGAAACAGAGAATTTTCGAAAAACGCATTAGCATAGATTATTATTTTGTGCTGAGTCGATGTATTCTAGAGCAATAGATCTGCGATGGTCTTTAATCTTAGAAGGTTTATATATAAATACAGTACAGTATATATCCATATATATATAGCTTTAATTATGTATGTCTACAGGAGTAGGGAATGCTATATATATATCTATATTACGTGCGGACTTTACTGAAATATCTAGTTGCTCGGCTATAACTTTATCTATAAGTCCATCTAAAAATCGGATTATGCTAGGATCTATCTGGCTTGCTAGGCATGATTTTATTTATAATTGGGCTATAAAAGTATGAGGTTTGCCAGGATCTTAATTTTCCTAGAGATAACTTTATCTCTCTCTATATATATATGTATATATACGTAGATAGTTCTTGGATATCGACACAATAAGCCCCTAAGCGAACATAGTTTTCTAGGAATACGTATGCAATTTATATATGTATATAATTATGTTCGCAGAGATCTTAAGTTTTCTGAGCTGGGTATATATTAAGCTGAGATCCTGCACACATCATACTTATATATCTAATACTCTAAGGGATCTTTCGCTTTTTACGGGGATTACCTCAGGTCTGTCTGTGCTGAATTACATGCTCCAAAAGGCATTGGTTCGCAGGGATCTAGAGTTAAGTGGGGATTACCATAGTTACGTTGGATGAGCCAGCTCCTTGGCTTACTTGGCTTTCAGCAGCAGTGTGAAGACGGACCAGGTGGACCTAACGACCTGGAAGTAAATCCTTATGGATGAACAGAGTTGACATGTGTGTGTGTGGTGCTTACCTGAACGAATGTCTTGAGGGTGACGGCTATGTGGCCGCCGGCAAAGATGCAGAACGTCTGCTGGCTGATCATCAGGGTGATGATCAGGTTGCGTCTGAACTGCGGCGTCTGATCCACCCAGTTGCAGGCATAGAAGGCATCGCAGAGCTTCTCGCTCTGCCCGCGCATGCGATCCCCAAAATAGCAGATGATGAACACCTCCAGGGTGACGGCGACGAAGAACACCATGGACAGCAGCATGGCGGACAGATCATTCGAGTCCGTCACGTAAAGGAAATGCATGCCGACGGTGCACTGAACGGCGGCGGAGCAGAGGAACTGCGCCAGGCAGGCAATCGATATGATCTGCTGGATGATCGCGTGCAGCTTGATAATGTTGATGTAGTCATCGATGCAGCTGCACAGCTCCACATGGGCGGCACGGCGCCAGCGCTGATGGCGATTGGAGGACGAGCGTGGACTCCATGCCGGATAGCCGATGCGGCGGACGCGCAGCTCCAGGGCGCGCATGTGGCCGGTGAGTATGCACAGATAGGCCGGCGGATAGGAGTCATTGGCGCAGTCCTGCACTGCCTGGACAATCAAGCCGAACAGCTGGTAGCCGCATAGGCACAAATATGCCGCATCCGAGTGCTGCCAATCGATGCCGAACCAGGCGGGATAAAGTAGAGTCCGTTCCCGGCTGATTGTCACACGGAGACAGCTGAGCGCGGTGCCAAAGACAAAGATGCCGGCGAATATGCGAAAGCTGTTCCGTGCCATATTGACGGCCAGCCGAAGGGCCAGCAGCTCCTCGGGATTCTGTACACCAATTGCCCGCCTGTCCAGCTGGTGCAGCAGCCGCCGGATTTCGGCCAGCTGCCGGCGCACCAGAAACACGTTAATGAACTTGAAATTGGCCGCAATGTCCGTTATGGTAATGGTCAGATTCTCGCACAGCTCCTGCAGGCTGTGCGTAAAGAACAGCTTCGCCAGCAGCGTCAGCGGAAACAGCAGCGTGACCAGCACATTGATCAGAATGGCGCGCAGCAGATGCAACGGCCGGGACATGCCCACCGGCTGGATCAGGCCGGTCAGCTCCCAGACCCGCCAATGATAACGCACAGCATCGTGCGTGTCCAGCTGCCAATTCTCTTTCCCCCCATCCCCAACCGCATCCCCATCCCCAGTCGCTCTGCTCGCCATTTCCGCATCCGTTTCGATAAGATTTGGCGCTTCCATCGTTGTCTTCCCAGCTATTTGGCCACTTGCTGCCTGGCACACTGGCATTTATAGCCTTCCAGCTCGAGTTGTCCAGCTGTCCGACTGTCCGACAATTACGGCTACCATTATAGACCATTATATAGCCAAAAGTTCGTAACATTGAAAACAACCCAATCAAAACTGCATTAAAAGTTTGCTGTTTATTTTCTGTTTTGCATTTTATTTCGAAAAGTTGATCAACTATCCTGAAGAAGGGGGAGGGGGGGGGTGGGGTATATTTAAATCAGTCATTCAATCAATCAATCAATCAATCAGTCATTCAATGGAAGGAAACTAACTAAACGGCGGGTTTTAGCGGCAGGATTTTAAACTGTCCTCGAGACAATTGCATTTAATTCGTCAGAGACAATTCTCATGATATGATACAAATGCGTGTGTGTATGTGTGTGTTTGAGTGTGTGTGTAGAACATTTTATTGGCCACGTTTTCATTGATGGCAATTGGCGTGAAGCGTGAGAGAGACCGGAAATGGACGTCAGGGCGAAAGGGAGTCAGGGAAAAGTTTCTGGCCAAACAAAAATCAACTCAAATAACAAACATATGGAAAACCATAAAAAGAGGGAAAAGAATATTCCAAGCTAACCTTGAAAGCAATTTAAATAATACGTAACCTAAAATATATATATCGAAAATTCGAATTCGAATATTTCTCCCGAATAACAAAAGTCCTCCATTAAATGTCGACGAGCTTGAAAGAAACTCAATTATTGACCGATCGTAGCTATATATTAAAAGGGAAGTCAACTTCTCGACTTGGCAGTTGATTTAGATCAGGCTTAAATATATACATACATATATATATATATATATATAAGTTCATAAGTTTGTCTGAGATTGTGGATTATCGGATTTGAGAACCAGCAGCAAAGAGTTCGCTGGTTCAATTTATCAATCGTTAGGCTGCTTTTCCACGTACTTAACTAGATATTCATATATGTATACTTAAAATTACATTTTTCTCTCTTATTACTTATGCCCATTGTACGGAAAATATTGCAAGTTCTATATATTTTCTTAAACAAGATGCGGGCTAAATTTGATCCCTACCCAAATTGTGGCGTCTACCAAATATGGTCAGATAAAGGCAACATTATTAATTATAAACTTTGGAATACCTGATTTATAGGATTTGTTTTTAACGAGAATCTGGCCCAATTGAAACTCCGTCTAAGAACATGAATCTTAAAAACTATCAACCGAAACGTATCAATCAAAATACATTGAAAATTTCGATAAGATAAAGTTTTTGCTACTCAAAACCTAAAAAATGCCTATTAACTATTTTCTTGCGGCTTGAGCAATGTGATTGTTTTGTTTTTTTTATTTTCTTTCGTGACATTCGTCGTGTCTGTTCATAATTGTGCCCATCTCTAAGTTATTGTAACGGTAGCTAAGTAAATAAGTAGAATATGCATGTGTGTATAATTGTGTACATGTATATGTTGTTCTTTGTATATTTTGTATACATAGTTGAATACATATGTGACTATGTATATGTATGTATGTAAGTGTTAGTATCTTTTCAATAGCATTCACTTAATCTTAAGAGGCGTTAGTATGTATGAATAGATGCATATATATATTTGTGTGTAAATATATATATACATATGTATTTATATAGGTATTTACATAGAATATTCTATTAGTTGGGTTAGAGTATAAAGCTATGCTGTGTGTGTGTGTGTGTGTGTGTGTGTGTGTGTGTGTGGGAAGCGGATGTTTTGATTAAGGGAGAAAAAACACAAAAACAAATCGTTGATGCACACAATAGACAATATGTTTTTTTTTTTTGTTTGTTTTCATTCGTTTTTAAACGCAATCTTAACTTGTAATTTTTAAGAATTAATTTAAAAATACAATTAAGCAAAAATGTAACTGTTAGCAACTAAATTGCTTACAAAGTGTAATTCATTAAACAAGACAAGAAACATTTAAATATTATATGTTTATCTTTTAAAGCTTTTCCCAGTTGTTTTTTTTTTCCGGTTTCGATTTGATTTTGTACAAATACAAAAAAAGAAAACAATTGGGAAAAGCAATTGAAAGCTAAGTGGAAATATTAACTAGTTTACAATCGGGCACTGCAAATAATTTATTATAAATATTTTAAATAACTTATTTTTTGTTTGTTTTGATTTCTGTTTTTAACTTAACATTTAACAATTACAATGCGTTACGTTACGTTACGTTACGGTGCATTACATTACGTTACGTTACGTTCGTTACAATCAACAAATATTGAAGTTGAGTTGGCGCCAAAAGCGATAATTTCAATTTGTTGTTGCACAATTGAATGCAATTTACAGCTATTCGAATTCTATAGTTGATATTATATTGTTATCTTTTTATTGGAATTTGTTGATTTGCATTTGCATTTCGTTTATTGAATTAAGCTCAGTTCTCGGTCGCCAAATGAAAATTGCAACACAAAACTGATGTAGAAAATGATTATTATTTTTTTGTTTAGTTTAGTTGATTGTTGTTAAACTATTTGTTTCCGTTTTTTAGTATTTTCACGGCTTAGCTTGTTTTGTTTTGTTTTGTTTTGTTTTTTTTTAGGAAGGGACTTGAGCTGATTTTCAAGGCAAAAGGAAAGTTAATTATAATGAACAATTAAATTAATTGATATTTTGCTTATTAGTTGTCATTAGTTGCCTGCTTGACCCGGCTCTTGCTGTATTGCATTTAATTCGGTTTGACTTTGATTTTGGTTTTGGTTTTGGCTTTTGTTTGGACTTGTTGGAATTGTTGCATCTTTTGTAATTCCGACCTTAGCGGCGGCGTTCTGATTTGAATTTGCATTTTTCTCTTTGTCTTTGTCTTTGGCATCCTGCAAAAGAATAATGTATTGATGTATGCCAGCGATATATATATATATATATATTATGTTATATATAACAACAAAAACAATTGCCTAATTTAACTAATTGTCTTAACGAACATTTGCAAACTGCGACTCAAAGCAAACTTGTTGTGCCTGATTATGTTTCGAGTGTGTGTAGGTGTATGGTAGGGTATGTGTGCGTGTGTGTGTGTATGTAATGTATCTTGGAGTGAACAAAGATTCATAGATATCCATAAGTGCATTTGATAAGGAGCAGCTCGTCTCGCGTCCCGCTATAATAAAGTTGCCTGCTTGGTTGATTGAGGGTATGTTGAGGAATTGAAGGAGGAACACATTAATGTTATTTGCTTGGCACAAATGGGGGCTTACCTTGGCCATCACCGTGGCGGCCTCCTGTTTTAGATACGATACGCGCGCCGTTTCGTACAATGAAACAAATTTGTCGCGCTGCACCTTGAACTGGGCGAACAGTTTGTCATCTTTGTTGCCCTTCAGGCGATTCTCGATGTCCAGCTTGGCGTCGTGCACGGCACGTATTTCATCATTGACCCAGGGCTTGTCAATGGGATACTGATTGACCAGATTTTTGAGCGTCTTGATTGTGCTCTTGCCCTTGACCACCTGCTTGATCAGCTTCGGGTTGGGCTTCTTGATTTTGCCACCATTCAGATTGCCGTTCATGTGGCCCATGTTGTACGGTATTGGCACGGGCGGCATGCCGCGCGGTGGCATCCGTGCTCCCATCATATGTGGTGGACCCATCATTGGCGGCGGCAGTGGTGGACCGCCGCGTCCGTTGCGACGCATAAATGGCGGTGGCGGTGGCGGATGCGGTAGTGGACCACCCATCGGTGGCATTGGACAGCGCATCGGCGGCATGGGCGCTTGATAAGGCATTGGCGGATATGGCGGCATTTGACACGGACCACCACGTGGTCCCATCGGTCCGCCGCCTGGACCTATTGGACCCATCATGTGACGACCAACAGCGCCGCCGCCGCCGCCGCCGCCGCCGTTACGATTTACAGGGCCTCCCATCATTTGTACTCTGTTGTATCCGTTACGCTGCGGTCCATTAAAGCGATTCACATTGGGAGCATGGAAACGTTGCTTGGGCTGCGGTTGCCAGCTATTGTCGCCCCCGCCCCCACCTTGCTGCTGCATCTGTGACGCGTAGTGCGAATTGTGCGGATGATGATGATGATGCTGTTGTTGTTGTTGTTGTTGCTGCTGCTGCTGCTGTGACTGTTTGCCTTTAAGCGGTTTACCTTTCATATGCTTCCTTTTGCCGCCATCGGCATGTCCAGAACCAGAGCCGGCATTGCCGGCTGTTGCGGACTGTGTTGTCGGCGAGGATTTGGTCGGTGGTGCTGGCGCCGGTGTATTAAAGTCAATATAGAGCGGATCGCTGGGCATCTGGCAGGATGAGTACATCATATGATTCTGTGTCAGGGCCTGGGGCCGGTAGGGCGGCTTACGGTACGGTGCAATTGCGGCACGTACATTTGAGCGCAATTGCTGCTGCATGACCCGGTTCTGTTGGAAATGATTACCTTTAGCTGCCATTTGGAAAGCAATTTGATTTCTTGCAAACTTGGCGTTTTGCAGTTTTTGCCCTGACGGACTGTTAAAGTAGAAAAAAAAATGAAATTTCTATCACACGCTTAAATATTGCTAGTTCAATTGTAGTTGTACATTTCGTAGGGATGAGCAATAAATTGACAAGCTGTGACTGTCAAAAGTATCGATTCATCAATTAAAGACCAATCGTTAATGCGCGCTCTTATCGAATATAATAGCAAATTTAAAATAAATTAAAACTATCAATAATAGATACACAACAAAATCTAAATAATAATAAAATAAGATATGCTCAAAAAACATTCCACTAAATACTTAAATGCCAGATTTAAAAGGAAAATAGAGTTTGTATAACATCTACTAGAATGAAAAAATTAAAAGATTCTATAATACTTGAACATACAAGAACTATTATATTGTCTATTAAGCAGTTAAGCAATGATCACGGAAATATCATACTAAGCTTATGTTATATAATTCAACTGTGAATTAACGCATAAAACATAATGTATTCGTTAATTAGAATTTAAATTGTGTACACACACATATATATTTAAGTGTGTACACACTGTTTACTGCGCAGGTTCAGAACAGCTGTTTAGCTTAGCTGCCGTGCGGTCTGTGGGCGTCGCAGCTACAGCCTACACACGCCTACAGCTACTGAAAACCAAAGGAACAACTTCGCCTCGCCAGTCGCGAGTCGCGAATCGCAACGTCCAAGAGTAGAGAAAATAAACAAGAAAAAACTTATTAAGAATAGAGCAAACGCCATGTTTCCCTATTTGCGGAGTCAACGCGTCAATTTGCAGCTGCTGCAGGAGCAAGCCTCTCGCGAGCTGGTGCAGCAGCTGGAGGCCATCGAGGGCACCAAGGTCATTGTGTTGGACGAGGCAATGATTGGGCCGCTGGACTTGGTTGTTACACCGGAGCTAATTACGGAGCGCGGCATTATGCTGCGCCCGTTGAAGCCCGAATTGCGTGTACCCAAAGAGATGCGCAACGTCATCTACATTGTGCGGCCACAGGTGTTGGTCATGGATCAGCTGATCGCGCACATGAAGGGCAATGTCCAGCAGGGTCGTCAGTTTCATATCTTCTTTGTTCCCCGGCGCTCCTGCTTGTGCATCAAGCAGCTGGAGAACAAGGAGGTAATTGGCGAATTTAGTCGTTTGGAGGAGCTAACCTGGAACTTTCTACCGCTGGACTCGGACGTGGTCAGCATGGAAATGCCGCATGCGTATCGCGATGTCAGCATCGATGGCAACACCACATCGCTATACCAGTTGGCCATTGGGCTGGTGCAGCTGCAGCGTCTATATGGCCGCATACCGAAGATCTATGGCAAAGGCGTGCTGGCCCAGCAGGTCTGGCATCATGCCAAGCAGCTGGCCATTGACGAGAAGTCGCTCTACAATGGCGACAAGGGCGCAATCGATCAGCTCATCTTGTTGGATCGTGGCATCGATCTGCTCACACCGTTGGCCACACAGCTGACCTACGAGGGCCTCATCGATGAGTTCTTTGGGATACGGCAGAATAAGCTAAAACTGCCGGCTGAGCATTTTCCATCTGATGCAGCAGCCGCTGTCGGCGCCAGCAGCACCGATCCGGCACCCATCCCGGACGAGCGGAAACGCCTTATGGGCGACATTGGGCGACACAAGACCATCATGCTCCATTCTGGCAATCAGCTGTACGCCGAGCTGCGCAACAAGAATTTTAATGAGGTGCGCATTCTGTTGGCCCGCAAGGTGAAGGACATCCAAAGGCAGATGAATGTCAAGGAGCGTTCGGTGGAGGAGATTAGGATCTTTGTGGAAACTATGCAACAGGTATTGAATGAAAAGAATGCAACATCTGAGCATACGGCCATCGCTGGACTCATCGACGAACAGCTGAGCCTTTATTCGTTCAACGATGATCTGGCCGCCGAGCAGGAGTTCATGATCTGTGCGGACATTGACAAGGCCAGCGCCTATATTGAGGATCAGATCGCACGCCGAGCCGAGCTGCGCAATGTATTGCGTCTAATCTGTTTGCAGTGTGCGGCCGCTTCCGGTTTTAAGGAGCCTGTCCTCAGTTATTACAAGCGCGAGCTGGCCCACGTCTACGGGCTGGAGGTGCTGCTCACGATCAGCAATCTGGAGAAAGCCGGCCTCCTACGCATCCGAACCGAGTCGCGTGCATACGCCGTGTTGCGCAAGGTAAGCAGCGAGTAACGAGTAGCGAGTAGCTCACTTTTGATTTGTATTGACTTGTATGCACCTCTCACCCTCTCAGACCCTACATCTCACCGTCGATGACAGCGTCGAGATCAATCCGAAGGACATTAGCTATGTGCACAGCTTCTATGCACCGCTCACCGCACGTCTAGTCGAGCACTCGCTCAAGCCGCTCGGTTGGCAGACTCTCAAGAGCCAGATCAACAATTTGCCAGGTCCCACATTCGAGGATTTTCAGGTGCAATTGATTGGCATCGGTGGTCGTCATGGCGCTGGTGCCACGCCCAACGAGTCATCACTGTTGGACGCCAGACGCGTGGTGCTCGTTTGCTTTGTGGGCGGCTGCACATTTTCGGAAATTGCCGCACTGCGCTTCCTGGCCGAACAGGAGGACAATAATGTGGAATTCGTAATTGCCACCACAAAGATAATCAACAAGCATACATTCCTCGACAGCTTGATGGGCTTCTGAAGGCAGCGCCTGAGCCGCTTGGAGGCACACCGTCTATCCATCGGCTGCGGCTTGACGCGCGGACGTAACGCCTCCATCCCATTGAGGCCATGACCAAAGCATCGCCACCAGCCGAACCAGCAGTGCAGCATTCTCTTTAGATCGGAGCAGCCGCCGCCCAAGCAACCAAATTAGAAAAGTTAATATCTTATCCACAACTACATATATATATGCAGAGTTTATGAATGTTATTTTTCTACACACACACACAAACACACAGACACACACACACACACACAGAACAGAACAGATTTGTAAACCTTTCGAGTATCTTAGAATATGCCTGCATATAATAACCGTTAATGTATTTATGTATACCCATATATATCTTTTATATGTGTACAGTTTGTAAGTGCAAAAGCTTTTGAAATCCTTTATATGTCAACTATATACATATATATGTATGTATATATATATATATATATATGTATATATATGGATATATATATGCGTATGTAGTTGAAAAAACAAAATACAAAGTTTTGAGAAATCCTAAATATCCAAGGCTCAACCTATTGATGTTACGCATGTTTACACACATATACATACATATATATACCTAAAAATATTTATATATACAATTATATCTACATATATATACACGACATGAAAGAATTGTAATTGCAAAATATATTTGCATTGGGGCAGGCAGAAAATTGATCGAACTACATTCCGCGAATCCGAAACTAAGCGCGTACATCTATTCTAATTATTATAAATATATATATACATATATGTATACAACGTATATGAGTACATACATATGTATGTATGTCGATATAGTTTTTGACGGATTATTGTTGGACCTGCATATTGTTGGTGTGAAAAGTGAATGGCTACATATGTACATATGTATGTACATCTATACAGCTACAACTTTATTGAGTTCAATAAAAAAAAAACAAAAACCAAAAAAAAAAACCTTAAATTTTCATATAATATATGCGTATATAGAAACTGAAAGGCATGAGAAATAGATGTGGAGAGAAACTCTAGATATCGACTTCTTTAACTTCTGAAAATATGAATGTGGCAAATGTGTTTTTTTAGTTTTTTTTTTTTTTTTTTTTTGTTTTGTATTGTTTTTTGTTTATTATTACTTGTCCCCAATATTAAGCAGATAGTCGCATATCTAAAGACAACAATTTGTCCTAGTTAGTTAATCGCCAATTTGTGTATTTTGATTTTTTATTTCGTCAGCTTATGCAATGCAATGCAATGTTTATAATATTCTTTAGTGCCCTACACTATATAGTATTGTTATATTAAAAATTCATATATATATGTACATATTTGTTGAGTTTTGTTCTTTTGTTATTTTCTTCATCTCTTTGTTGTATTTTTACTTTATGTTTTATTTTATTGACGTGTATCAATTAAATTGTTATTCGTTTTTCCACTTCAAAAACACAATTTGTTAATAATAATTTAAAAAAAAAAATAGAAAAAAAAACAATATTATTAACATAAGAAATATTACATATGTATGTTCTGTGTTCTGTTTTCACACCTCCTGAAACGCTGCTATCTCTCTCTCTCTCCCTCTCTCGCTCTCTCTCTCTCTCTCCCTCTCTCGCTCTCTCTCTCTCTCTCCCTCTCTCTCTGTCTCGTGCTCCAACTGCTGCCTCTTTCTAAATCTGTTTCTAGTCATTTCTTTGCATTTGTTAAAGTCCGTGATAAATCCATGCAAAAGTAACTAGTTATGCACTAGAATAATACTAATGATCATTATTATTATTATTATATATATCTATATAAGTGCGACGCGTCAGAGTTTTAGTTTTTTCATATCTACGCATTTGTCCCACGCTCACGTCTTTATTGTTAGATAAAATTATTATTAATTATTTGCTAACGGAAAAGTTTGTTTTTTTTTTGTTTTATAATTTTGTTTTTGTGGAAATCGGTTTTTATCATTTTGTGTACTACAAATTTTATTGCTACAAATGTTAAATTTTATATCTTAAGATCGGGACTCGTGATAGGTGTAGGTGTGTGTGTGTGTGTGTGTGTGGATGTGCATATTTATTTGTATGTGTATACGACAACAACAAAAAATAACTGTCACATAAAACATAAATTGTAATTAATTAAACATTCATATGCATTTAATTTTCTATACAATTTTTATTGTTTTTGACTAAGCATTATGCAATTTGAATTAATTAATTCTATAATAGGCTTACTTTTAGTTGTGGTTCTTTTATTTGTTATATTTTGTTTTTAATTCATATTATTTATTTTGTTTTATTTTTATTTGCAAGTCCGATATAAAAAAAAAAAAAATTCAAAGAAAAAAACGTAACGTAAAAATTGAAAATTTGGATTTCAACAACATGCAAAAATGGCGCCAAGCTATTTTCTCAATCAAAATTAGTTGGTGAAGGATCTGCTCCTGGCATGGCATGGGCAAATCCTCGCTTCCTCTCTCTCTCTCTTCTCGCTCTCTCTCTCTCTCCGTCTGTCTCTCTCTTTTCACTTCATGCCTTGCTTATCGGCTGTTTTTTGTGCAGTGGAGCGCGCAATCGATGGCGTCCCTCTCGGCGAGAATCTCCGTTCTAACAGAATCTTCGTGTATTTAACGACTCCTTCAAGGACTCTCGTTTTGTTTTTATATATTTTTGCAATACACGATCGAGTCGTTTGATAACAAAGAAATTAATTAAATTATCATGTAATAATATCAAAATTTCAAAATAAAACTTAAACATTTTGCACACATTTAGTTCGATCGCTATATATATATATAGACATACATAGGTCGATAATTTTGCTGTTGCTTGTGGTTGTCTGTTTGCTGTTGTTGTTGTTGTTGTTATTGTTTTATGCGTTTTGTGTTTGACAATAGTCTTACATTTAAATTATGTATTTATGTTGTTTTTTATGTATATATATATTTATATTTTTGCTTGTTTCATTTTGTTTTAACTTTTGTTAAATTTATTATTATGTGGTGTTTGTTGTTGTTTGCTTGAATTGATTACGTTTGAGTACAAAATTATGACAGCAACATTTAGAAAATTTCTCATGGTGTTTCTTTTTTTGTTTTGTTTTCCTTTAGTTATATTAATTTGTTGTTGTTTATTTTCGGGTGCTGCTACACGCATGCTTTTGTATTATATATATAAATCGATATATATATATATCTATATTTTTTATTGTTATATTATTTGTAATTGTTGTTGTTATAGTTGTTTGTGTCCGGCTCTGTTTGTTGTTACCTTTGTTGCAGTGTTTGTTTTAAAATTTGCATTTAAATTATAATAGTTCATATTACTATATGGTTGTTGTTGTTCTTGTTGTTGCAGTGTTTGTTGTTTCTGTTTATGCTGTTGTTTTTGTTGTTGGTGTTGTAGGTGTTGTTGTTGCTGTTGTTGTTGCCTATGCTATAGCGAACCAGCCGGAAAACTTGTTGAACTATTGCTATGCGCTAAACTAATCATGGAACCAGACAAACTGCCCTCCTCATCCGGATAGGTCTCGCGTGATACCTCAGTTAATGATAAAGTGCTGAAATACACCAGATTTAAAAATATATTGTGTGTATATTGGAAATATATGTGTTTTGGTTTCATACCTGAAACCTAAGGCTATTGATTCATTATCAAAAGCTTCCAATTCTTTAGCATGCTTCTCGTGTTTCATGCGCAAGCGTTCGGCACGTTCCAAATTGAATTGTTGCAATTCGGCATCCATCTGAAATGAAGATTATTAAATAAATTTCAAATTGATTGCATAGGTTAAAAGAGCCACCTTATTTTCCAATAGGCCACGCCGCACGCTGACGCGATTCTCGAGCTCACGTCGCTCGCGATCCCGCTGCTCCTGCGCCTGCTTCTTGTTCTTGTTCTGATAGGCTGTGAGCATATCCAGTTCGTATTCCAATTGCTCATTGGTACGTTGGCACTCGATCACTTGACTCTCGTCTAGTTTATAACTTTGACTTTGGAACATGTCGGCAATGCTTTGTTCATACTGTAGAGCAAAATGAGATGGGGATTATTTATGTGTGTCATATGGATATATTGCATTTGTATTCTCGCATCATCACCTACCTGTTCACCCAGCAGCGTCAGCTTGCGATGCTTCTCCTCTTTCAGCTGCTTGATAACCTCCTTTTGTTGCTCTTTGGGTGTCGTTTGCAGCACTTGCGCCTTGTAGCGTTTATATTGTTTTGTTTGCGTTTTGCATGTCTCGCGAAACTGTTTGCGTATCTGCAGCTCCTTTTGCTGTAAGAGAACATTTTGTTAAAATCAATCGTTGTTGTTGTTGTTTGTGGAAATAATTTGGTGTTCACCTTAAGGCTCTTGGGTTGTTGTCTTAGCTCGAGCGCATGCTTGCGCAGCAGCTCCTTTTTAATGCGATCCATGTAGTCTTTTTGATTGTGCAACTCCGTGTCGTGCTGCTTGTTTATCTGTTGAATGAAAATAGCATGGATATAGTCAATGATTGAGCTGATCATCTCATACTCACTTGCTCCTCGCGCAACTGATGCACGCTCTTCTGCTGGCGGTACTCCAGCTCCTGTGTCTTTTCGTGGTGTTTCAACAGCATGCCATGGGCCTGTTCCAGCTGCTGTTGCTTCTTGCTCAGCTCCTGCGTTCAATCAAAATGGTGGGCTTATATTAATTCGTATATACTACTGTTTTAACATATTTACATCGCGCAACAGCTGATCCTCCAGTTCGTGCAGCAATATCATGCGTCTTCGCTTGAATTTGCGCATCTCGAGCTCAATGTATTGCTTTTGGGCTTGCAGCATGCGTTGCTCCTCCTGGGCCTCGTGCTGCTTTAGATTATCTTTTTGCGATTGCAAGGTTAAATCACGCTGACGCTTTGGCGTTGACTCGTCCATGGAGAGTTCGCGTTTCCAGCGCTCCTTGTTCGCTTTGTATTCCTTTTTGCGGTTCAAATCGAACACCTTACGATCGCCCTCCTGCTTCAGTGTAATCTCTTTATGAAGTTTCTTTTCGGCCGCTGTCGTCTGTTTCGCGCGCCGTTCCGAATCCTGCTGATGCTTGGCCTGCAATATGATCAAAATGCATCGGTTAGAAGAATTCGAGTTTATTTGAATACGTTCGCTCACCTCGAGGCGTTCCAGTTCTCTGGTAAAGTTATGCAATAGATTATCGTACTCCTTGTCCAGCGCCGACTTGTGCGTCTCCATTTCCACCTTGCACTTCTCCTCGAGCTTCAGCAGCGTCGCCTGATGCTCCCGTCGCATGCGCTTGTATCCGGACATTTGTTCGTGCATCTCCTCCTGCATTTTCAAAAATTAGCAGCCAGCCACAAATAATGTACATATAAAACATAAGCTAATTAACCGACTGTCTGTGTGCGTGTGCATGAGGCGCTTTGGCAACAATAACTACAATCAACTTACGATAATACAACTGAGCTCCCATTCGTTCTTAACCTCGAATTTAGAAAATTTTAGGCAAGGCAAAATCATAGCTACTTGCAACAGCTAACGCAGTTGTGCTAATAAAAGCTCAATACAATGCAATAATAAAGAAACGAAACAAGCACCGTTAACAATAAACACTAACTTAAAGAATTGAAAATCGCAGCGTTCAAAAATCAAAAGATAAAATGCCGGCGGGCAGATGTCAAACTTGTCAAATGTTAAGCAAGCTTCGAGAGTGCGAGAGAATGTGAGTGGGAGTGTGGTGAAAAGCGAAAAGGAAGCGAAAAAAGAAGAAGAAGAACAACAATGTAAGCAGCATAGAACAAAATTTGAGCGAAGGCTGAGTGCATGTATGTATGTGCTTGTGTGTTTGTGTAGGTGCGCTCGCTTGAATGGTGCTAAGGTGCTGAGAGTGTGAGTGTGTGAGTGTATGTCTGTATGTCGTATTGTTTTTGATGCACTCAATTTGCAAATAAGTCT